ACACACACACACACACACAAACACACCTGCTACCAAACTAATTCTGATCCAAGCAACTCTTTAGGACAGAGTAGAACTGCCCATATAGTTAGCTGACAAATTCTTACCTGCTGTGTCATCAGGGCTTCTTACCAATCCAAATGCTCATTAAAAACCCTAGGCCAAACTTACTTTTAATATTCATGAGAATTCTTTACATAGTAATATAATATATTGCACATTATATGTATGGCCTTTTCCTAATATTTTCAAGAAGATAATTTTTTTAAGCTAAAAATAAATAAAAATGAGCTGATCGGGCTGCATCAACCTTTCATTTTTCCTTTGTCCTAGGTTCCCTTAGATTATAGGTTCATGTTCATCAATAATTCTATACTGAATTTCTTTTCTGGAATATGACATTTTGCATCCAATGTAAGGAACAGATAAAGCTCCCAATTTTAATCCAACACCAATAAAGCTGCCAGTATCAAATTTTTATTTTACATAAGTCCAACCTTACTTGACGGAAACTAACAACACACAAAATGTAATAATAGTGCCATAACACCTGGTAAGAATTCAGTGTGGGTTAGCTACATGCAGAATTCATAACAAAAGAAAAATGTAGGCCCCACGAGGAACCTGGGGACATAGTGGTTATGCCTTGGATTTCTGCTACCTGCACGGAGTGATTCCAAACTACCAGCCACTGTGTAGGAGAAAGATGGGGCTTTCTACTCCGTTAAAGAGTCAGTCTCAGAAAACCCACAGGGACAGTTGTACTCTGTTCTGTAGTGTCACAATGAATCGGCATCAATGCGATGGCAGTGAGTTTGGTTTGGAGTTTTTGTTGGAATGGGGAAGTCAATCCCACCTTTCCATGGGCCCAAAGCTTCATTTCTTGATAAGTAGGATTATCCATAGGCTTGCAACTTCTGCCTATGGTACCTTGATGGGAGATGAACAAAGAGGTTCCCACTGAGGTGCCTGCTTGGGGTGGGGACTGTCACTTACTAACTCTACCCAGAGACACCATGGCACATGTGCCTGCCTTGACTCCTCCCACCTCCCCACCCACATACACACCTGTACCAGGAACTCACTGGGAATGGAGGGTGCTGGTGAAATGCGTACCTCCTCTGATCAATGGCACTTGGAACAGAATATAACTTATTGGGTCCCAGGGCACTAGAAGTTGGGAACAGGTGGCCCAGAATCCATCATGCAGAAAGGGTAAGAAGTAAGCCACTCTCACTGCCATTGAGTCACTGATGACTCATAGCAACCCCTGCGGGTTTCTGAGACTCTTTATGGGAGTAGAAAGCCCAGTCCTTCTCCGTTGGAGCTGTTGGTGGTTTCTGTCAACCACGCAAATCACAGTCCAACGTGCAACCACTACACCAGGTTCCATACACCAGTACAGGTGTCATTATTTTATTAGTATTCAATTACACAATCACAATGAAAGATAAACGCATTAAGAATTTTAAGATAAAGACCCCAGAATATTAAACTCCAAGCATGAGGTCCTTCAAAGTGACTCAGAAACCAGTCCTCAAACAAACAAAACACAAACTCACCCTCATCAAGTTGATGCCAACTCATAGCAACCCTATAAGGACAAGATAGAACTGCTCCTGTGAGTTTCCAACACTTAACTCTTTTTTTAATTTGTCTTATTTTTTAAAATCTTTTTATTAGGGACTCATACAACTCATCATTATCCATACATACATCAATTGTGTAAAGCACATTTGAACATTCACTGCCCTCAAACATTTGCTGTCCACCTAAGCCCCTGGCATCAGCTCCTCATTTTTCCCCTTCCTCCCTGCTCCCTCCTCCTTCATGAACCTCGATAATTTATAAATTATTATTTTTCATATCTTGCCCTGTCCGATGTCTCCCTTCACCCACTTTTCTGTTATCTGTCCCCCAGGGAGG